AAATTTTGTACAAGCACACACAAAAGTTGCACTTTTAAAGAATGTATATACACCTTGTTTGGAATTACTGTCCTGCTTAATCAGAGCATGTTTGGGAAGTGATGTCATTTTTGATTTAAATATGCCAAATTTAAGAACATTCTATTGGACTGAGAGTCAACAACTCCTTTGCGCTTGATCCAGGGGAACTTTCGCTTGGAATCATGTCCAAGAAATCAGAACACTTTCAAAAACAGAGGACACATATCCCTTCAAGGCTGAATGCAGCCGATCTCCCTTCTAAAGGCTGTTCAGTTTTTGCAGTCAAAATATTGGGAAGGATCTGCATGATTGCAGGAATCAAAATGCTTTTGTAGCCTAAAAGCATGCATTCACTTGCCAGACAAAGAAGTCATAAGTTCAGAAAAGCATAAATCAGTATTGACAGCTCTTAACAAAGATTCTAAACCTCACAATTAGTATTATAGATACCTTACATCTGTAAAGAAAATTGTATGCATGTTAGCTTGGATCCTTAGATTTTACTTGAAATTACAAAAACTACCAGTGAATGTCCAAAAATTTGTCACTTTTGAAAACCGAAAGGAGTGAGGTAGTGTTTATGTTATTCATTCAAAAGGAATCATTTAAAAGTGTAAATAATAATACAATTAAAGACCTTAGACCTATAGTTGATTGTGATGGTCTGATTAGAAGCCAAGACCAATGTTGCTTATTGGGATGATACTAATGACTTAAAATTTCCTGTTATTTTGCCATTGGATCATGCAGTAAAGTTACTGATAATGAATGCATATAATAAAGCTGCTGCATGCTGGTACTTCTATGGTGATGTATCATTTACGAGGAAAGTATTGGATCGTCAAAGCTTGCAAGATAATACGAAACTGTTTTAGAAAGTGTGTTAAATGTCGAAGATTTCAATACAAAAGTTGTGATGCAACTCCAGAAACTTGGCCGTGCATGATGCAGATTCTTTGATAACTCAGGCCTTTTTCCCCAATCACTGAGATGTTTTGTCTCTCATTGCAGAAGACACCTACAATATACTCGGACAATGGCAGTAATTTTAAAAGGGTGGAGAATCCTTTGCATACACTTGATTAGGAGAGTCTGCATTCAAAGGCCATTGAGCAAAAGATCAGTAGAAATTTAATCTTCCCACTGCACCATAGTGGGAGCATATACTTCAAATGGTAAAACAGATTCTGAGAAATGTCCTAGGTTGTGCTCCCCTAAATTACAAGGAGCTGCTTACGGTATTGTGCGACTGTGAAAAAGTAATCAATGTTAGGACACTTACCTACACGTGAGAAGGCATTGAAAATATATCACCATTAACTCCTGATATATGTTTTTGCAGGAGATTTCCAAATCTGGAGTACCTGATATTAATATAGTGGACAAAGAAAAACTGAGCGAATGAGCTAAGTACGTACAAAAAAGGAGACAGCTACTCAAAGTAAGATTTCGCGTAAACTACAAGTAGCCCTCCTACAACAAGGCATCCTGTAATATGGTTTCACTATAACATGATTCATAAATTGCAAGAATCCTCCTACAACATGTTTTCCCCATAACACGATAAGAAAATTGCTCAAGCAATCCGAAGAAATTTAACGAACTCCGCACGAAGCTTTCCCATATTGTGCAAAACACCCATATAGTAACACATAAGAATCCTTGTGTCGTAAGTTCTGCCAGTTGTCTTCCAAGATCTGGTACCCGTCAGAACAAAATGTCCTCATGACCCGTATGAACATGTCCCCAGAAACATGAAGAAAACTATTGCAGAAGGTGAACAGCATGAGGTCAAAGTAAGTGCTCTGAAATGTACAACCTGCACGTTCGGCTTTCAAAATTTGAATCCTCGTCTCCATGGCCTGAAAACAAAAGTGTCTCACGCTGCTGGTCGGCAGTCTGTGTCGATCCATGGTGTGTTAAAGAATAACTTTTTCGTCTTTAAGACATTAACTTTCAGTCCCCTAACCTGTCCGATAAAGATAAAAAACAACGTTTAAGAGAAAATTAATTTCTTTAGAAGTACAGATACAAATCTTGGACCGTCTTTTAGAAGGAGAAAAGGCATCTCAAATTGGAAAAACTTTTAATTGGGATAAAGAAACAGTCTGGACCATTAAGAAAAATGAAAAAGAAATAAGAAGTGCAGTTGCTGCAGGATCTTCGGCATCCGCAAAAGGTGCAGTTCGCCCCCAGGGGCGCCTACAATTGAGAAGTGGAAAAGGCACTCAGCATTTGGATTGATAATAGCTGTCAAAAGAAAATTTCATTAGATGGTAATATCATTAAACAGAAAGCACTCAAAATTTTCAGGCACCTCAAAGAATGTGGAGAACCCTCTATCGACCCAGATTTTTTGGTAAGTAAAGGTTGGTTTGAAAATTTCAAAATGTGTTTTTCCCATTCATAACATAAGAATTCAAGGGGAATCTGTATCGGTTGATTATGAAGCTGCTAGGAACGATTCCTGAAAAATTTCAAAGTATTATAGAAGAACAAGGATACACAGGAATTCAAGTTTTCGATGCTGATAAAACCGGGCTTTGGTGGGAAAAAATGCCCAGTAGGACCTTTATATTGAAAAAAGAAAAAAACTGCATCCTGATTTTAAGGTGTCTAAAAATTGTCTAATGCTACTTTTGTGCAGACTTTGGACTTTATGACAAAACCCTTGCCGTTTATAGATCTTTAAATCCTCTTTACTTAAAGGTGTAAATAAAAACACCTTACCGGTATGTTGGAAAGCAAATCAAAATCCAAGAGCTTGGGTAGCTGGGAATATATTTAAAGATTGGTTTTTAAATTGTTTTGTGCCAGATGCTGAACATTATTTATGGCAGAAAAATTTGAGCTTCAAGGCGCTTATTACTATTAGATAATGCTCCATGTCACACAAAAGATTTGAATCATGACATTGCCAAACCCTAACACTACTTCCTACCACCTAACACTACTTCGTTACTCCAAACATTGGATCAAGCTATTATTTATACCTTTAAAACATATTACGTAAGAAGAGCATTACAGCAGATTTTAGATGTAACCGATTAAAAATCAATTAATGTAATGAAAGACATTTTTAATCAAGAGCTGAAAGCATCAATGTTAAATACATGTTAGAATATATGGCCCTCTTCAGTTGAAATAGAAAATGAGCATGAATCATCAGAAAATGAATTTGGTGGCATATTAGAACTTGCTAAATCAATTGGAGGAGGTTTTCTGAACATGGCTATTGAGGATGTTCAAGATTTATTAGCGGAAGAAGAAATTGATGAAGATTTGATAGAAATGACATCCGAAGCCGTAAATTAAATCGATTCTGAGGACACTTCCACTGATGAAAATTGTGAAGTTATTAATTTCACATTAAAAAAATTAAAAGGCGGCCTACGCTTAGCTGAAAATCTCGAGTTATTTATTTTTTTAGTGCAGACCCTTCCACTGAAAAAAGCCGAAAATTCAAAAGGGAGCTGCAAAACTGTCTAGCTCTATACCGAGTAATTAAAATGATCAGTAAGAACTAGAAGCAAGGAAAATTACAGATTTTTAAAGAGGGAGAAAATGCAGGACTTAAATGAAGAAAGAAATTCTGAAAGTGAAAGCAATCATTCCACCAAAAACAGTTTCAGTGATTATACGAGCAATGGACAAGAAGAAATTTATTAAACTAAAGTTGTGTTAAATTAAAATATGTAATATTTTTTGTTTCATACTATACTTACATATATATTTTTAATAAAAATTAAATTGTTTATGTATAATTAAGGAAAAAGATTTGTGTTTGATAAGTTTCCGAAATGTAACCCTCCTTTTTATACTGGCTCTGGGTCTCACACAACACAGCATTTTCTAGGAATTTATCTACTGTGTTATATGAGAGTTACCTGTATCTAGGACGATAACATCAACAATCCATTAAAAACTCTATGGCTAAGCCTCTCATGATGGGTGAAATGTTCTGCTGGAAGACAGCAACGAGAAATGCACATTTTGGAATCTAACACGTGTGATAAAACTGATATCTGGTTGTGATGAACAAATAAGACTTGCTCTTATAAAAACAGGGACTTCTCAATTTTTGAGACAAATTAAATGACTGTACTCACTTGAGCTGGATATTCGAGTGCGAAAGGATACAACAAACTATTCCTCTGACTACCAGTAGTGGCAAAACTGTGAAATCAGTAATATGTCTGTGAAATGCTATGAATAATCTGATTTTTAAAAAAAATTTTGGGTTTGCATTATCTTTCAGCATGTTTTTAAGTGTGAGTAAAAAATGCTTGTTTTTCATCATGTAATTTTCATTTGAATTTTGTTACAGCATGTTTGTAAGCATAATTTTACATTTCATACTGTATTTTCTAGTGTTTATTTGAACTATTATACACTGTATTTAATAGATAAGTGAATTTACTTCTCGGTAAATTCAGCTGGGAGTAATATGCCATACATAGGTTCCTAATTTTTAAACAGAATACTATCAATTGGAATTTGGGGAGAAATCGACCTCAAACTATTTTTATTCACTAACCAATGCCTCGTGGAAAGTTGAAAATAACATCAAAAATCACACATTTTGAAATTAAATGTCTTGTTCAATATTTCTCATTTAGAAGTCAAAGTTCTTTTTTTTTTTTTTTTTTTTTTTACAATATTGCCCTGAATTTAAATATAAGGACTGGAGAAACATGTATAGAGTTACTTTCATATTTTATACAAAATTAATGTTTTTTAAATTTCAAAAATACAAAAATATGAAGCTTGGCATCATTTTAAACATTTTTGGAACTGAAAGTAAATGTCTACGATCAACAGTTATGAAATTAAAAGGCAGATAAGAATTTTTGTGAACATGGCATATACTGGTTACTCATACTGTGCTGTACATGAAATTGAATCTACATGTCCTTCAATGAACAGAATGATACTAATATCTATAACTAGCTTTTCTTGGGTTTCATACTTTTAATTTGTCACATTACAAAAAGTTTACAGTATTTTTATGCATTTTAATAACTATATGGCAGGTTTATTGGATTTTCTCTATTCAAGAACATCAAATCCTCTGCTTAATAGATGAATTTATGAGACAACTGCAGCATGTATAAAAAAATATATAAAATATTATATTCATATTATTACCTGGTAAAACTGGTGAATGCTGCAGATTGTGGATTTATGCACAATGGCACACGTGTTGCCCTTTGACAATGGTCCGATATAAAACTATGAAGTTTTTCTGAAATAATAATTTTAATATGTATCTTTTACAATACCATTATATTCTGTTTATGAAAAATATTCCATTATAATAAGCATTTTATAAAATGATACAAATAACAATGGAAAATGATAAAGTTACCTTTAACTTGATATACTGAGCGTAGATTTTTTTCAAATGAATCATCAAAAGGATGATTTGCAACAGGTTCGAAATCATCAGTATAATGGCGGCCAGCAGGTGTTGTATAGCAACACGTACACATGCAGGAATGATACCGTAGTCTGCCTTCATCTATATAAGCATGAGCCAGTGCTTCTGTACAAGATATTCTAGCATCCTAAAAAGTATAAAATTTACTTATAATCTTGAGATTTAGTACATACAACAATCAGTTCCAGAAAATATTCACAGACGCACATTCAAAAGTTTATACAGCTTTGATTATTTGCATAGGACTGCCAATACAGAAAAATCATGATGATCTAAAAATCAACTAATATATATTCCTCAAAATTACTAAAGATAGACATTTTAGAACAGAGCACTAAATTGTACAAATGTAATGCCATAATGTTATTAGTGAAATATAAAAAATGAACTACATTTTTTCCCTCTGAAAACAAAATGATTGTTTTGGTCTTCTGCCAACTCTTCCAACTTAAGCAGAATACATTTTGAATGCACATTCACTAATCTTTATTTTACCCAAAAAATTTTATATGTGGCTTGACTTAATTGTTTGCACTCAAAAGACATCCAGCAAAAGAAATCCCCATACTCTTTTTAAAAATTATTTAAAGAAGGAAAAAAATCATTAATTATATGTTACAGCATCCTACCATTATGCACGCAAGATGAATCTGAAAACTACAAGTTCCAGTACTCTACTCAGCATCATGTACAGCTGTGACTTACTTCTGGCATGTATTACCAATAAGCACAAAGCCAGACTGACACTGTTTTCAGTCTATGTTTTATGTGCTTTGATTTTGAGAAATAGTTTAAGAATTTACAATCTTATATCTTATTTACGTTTGTGAAAAAGAAAAATATACACTTTTCAAAAATTGTATACAGATGATTTAGGTACCATCTGTCATGATGTTTCAGTTTCTCTCCGTAAAAAAAAACTGATATTCCTAAACATATTCATTATTTTAAAAAAAAATAAATCCTTTTGGAATATTTTATCGTTTATGAATCATTTTTGCTACCAAGTTTATTACTTTCTGATTATATGTACCCCAATCGAAAAGTTGTGTAAAAGTATTGTTGAAGCAATGTAGCATGTCCATAAAAATTATTTATATAGAACTCAGTGCACCTAGCATGTTTCAGTGGATGTGCATTTTTAAAATTCAATGGTGATTTTTCTAATTAATACTTCTTTTTGCATCAAGTACATTTGTTTTTATTGTAATGAATTGAAATGGTGAAACCAGTGAAGTTCATTGAAAGAATTGATTTGTTTCGGAAATATGGCATTTTGCCCAACAACAGAGAATGCAAAAATTTGCATAATATGAAGTTGTAAATGCCTGAATTTTATGGAAAATTCAACAATGTGGAGCGGTCACTATTTTTAAGATATGCTTATCTTATTTATAACAACTGTTTGCTTTATTTATTGTAGAACAAGAAATATATGTCAATAAAATTCTATGAAAAACTGGGATTATCTTCAGACACAACTATTAAATGGTACAATTTCCTCTGAGAAATGAACATGTCTTCTATTAAAAAAATGGGGGTGGGAGAGGGAAGACAGCACTGAATACATCATTGTAGTATTCCACTCAAATTCCACCTTTCCCTTTTTTCCTTTGCCTTTTTTTACCCCTCACGAATTTTAATCAAAGTGCAGAACTTACTGACTGATGAATACTTATAAGTCACAAAGGCAGAAAAGTAATTCCACACCTACTCAATTCACAAAATCAGCAATGAATTGGTGATTTTTAATGGGGTGCAGATAATCAGAAATTATTGCTATGGCAGAGGCCATTTCTGCCCTACTTTCATTAGAAATCTTAAAACATGAAAAACATATTCAGCAACTATTACACACAAGTAAAAATGCACTGAAAGATAACCTTCCTCAAAAATGGCTTGAATCAGTTCCTAACTCAAACACACACACACACACACAAAAGTGAAACAAGTATTAAATTTGAAAATAGATATAAACATATTTGAATTCACCATGAAATCGATTTAGCTTTAATAATGGTCTTATTATTGAGTTTAATTGAAGTTTTCATGAAATTATGTATTTGTTAAAATGTTGATATCATAAAACAGGTTTGCTCAGAATTGTATTATTCAAAAGATTTTACATCATTATTAAAACTTTTTATCTGTCTGGGATTTGAATACATTTTTACAGTAGTGTAGTTGGCATTAACTATCTTTACAGTTATATGGTGTACTTCTTTGTCGGCAAAATTATCATAACTAAAATTTTTTGAAAAATACAAAAGAAAAAGAAAATGATTGTCATAACTAGCAAATATTTTTTCCCCCTTGGTTATACTGATTACTTCATACATCAGTATCTATCAAAGAAAATTTTCATTATTTATAATGGAGATTTGTCAAACTGTTCACCACACTTTGATGCAAAATGACTGCACTTATGGAAATTCATTAACACAGAGCTGAAGACTACCTATAATAACTAAATTGTATAAAACTTCCAGAACAACTTACTGGATTAAATATAAGCATCTGTGTAAGTAGATGCACAGCTTCAGCATTAGAATGGGTTGAGAGAACATAAAGCTTCGACAGGGATGCTTGTTTCTGTGGCTTTCTCAAGATATGACTTTTAGCACCTTCACAAGCATATTTCATATCTTGTAAGCTTGGTGTCCCAAGGAGATCTGTAATTAACTCCAGCTGAAGGGAGGAAAAAGGTTAGATTGCATATGCATAAAATTTATATGACACTATCAATTGAAAAAAACATTTTAGGTTTATTCAAATGTTTATTGCAACAATTATTTCACATGCCTAACCAAAAGACTTTTTTTGTGCTTTTTTTCAAATCACGAAACAAATATCAAAAGAATGAAAAATGATATGTATTTGTTCTATTAATTAAATACCAAAACCTTATAATCTGATTTGTGTTTTATTCTATTCTCATTCTACACAAATTTGCGGCAGAGATACACAATATGTCTGTAGAGCGTCAGGAGTCGAAAGTTTACACAAACAGGAAGGAAAAAATTCTTACTAAGCTTTTAATATACAATCCTTGTAAGTTTATACTATGCTTAGTTTGTTTAATTCCTCAGTAAAACTCATTCTGTTTAAGTAAGTCTCTGATTATGTTTTCTGAATTTCTTTAATGCTGATAAAATAATAATCTTTGAGCTGACACCTCCCTTTAGGAAAGAAAGAATAAGAAATGTAGTTGAGAATTGTGACACTTTTCATTGCTGGGAATTGCTGGACAAGAATAGAATTATGTGACAGCACATTGGTGTGCACCAGAAACCAGTTTTTCAACAGCTTTTTCATGCCCAATACAATTAATTCTCTTCACAAGTTTCTTCGTTATATCTTTATAAAATATACAATTCATCATTTCTCATTCAGCAGAACAAATTCTTAGTGAATTACACCTTTTGAATAAAATATGGTTGGCAATCTTTACACAAATTTCTGAAACCCAAGTTTCTGTGGCCATAATGCACTTCTGCAGCTTACGTAGATGATGGCCATTTTATTCCGTGGTCATAAGAAAAGAACCAAGTTTTTACATCCACCAATATTAACATTTGCCATCTGGATCAGATTATGACATGAAAAAACTTTGATCTTTTTTTTCTGTTCTACGACCAATGTGGGAGGAGGAAGACAACAACAACAAAAAAAAAAAAAAAAAAAAAAGAGAGAGAGAGAGATCCACTAAAATTTTGTGAGCATATCCTTAATGTTAAGGTTATTAGTTATCATACAAAGCCAATTAATTTTTCAGCAATACCTGTCAAATTTATTTTATATTCTCATCTATCTAGACTACACTCCTAGGTTCGTCATTATCATCTTTACGGCCAATCACAAAATCAAATCCATTCCAATGAAAAACAATGGATTATGTTAATGCTAAAATTCCCCATATGCTTTATATGACTTTCAAAAATGTTCTCTACTGTTATTTTCTACACTTTGCTGAAATCTGCTTAGCTGAAAAACTTTGCTGTTATCTGCTTAGCTTTCAAAAGCATGACAGCAAATATTTGCTAGATCAAAGCAAACGATTAATTACATAAGGAATTCTGTGGATTTTTATGCAGTTTATGCAAGAAAACGGATGACATTTTAGAAAAAGTACACTGATCATCAAAATTAAAAAATAATGACAGAAACTGATATTTAATGAAAAATTATTAATAGAAATTTGTACAAAAGATTAGTCAACCTAAATTAAAATTTTTGGTAGTTGATTATTAGCAAAATATTGAAATTAAAACCAGATTTATGAAAATTGGAAAATGATGGAAAAATTAAGCCACCTCTTGTGAGGAAAATTTTTCTTCAATATGGTGTATGTTCACCTCGGACATATATGCCTACTTCACATGCTGATTTCAACATTAATTTGGCGCACTGAAATTTGGCACCTTAACCCTTTGCGGCATGGTGGGTCAATATATGTCCCACCTAATTAATATTTATTTTCTCAGTTAGCAATTTCCGTTAGAAATTTTCTAATCTTTTAAAAATAATCTATTTTAGTTATTATTTTTCTCAGTAGATGTTACTACTATACCAGGGCTTAAGTTTATAAGCAAAAAATATTCAAAATAGGATCACAAAAGTGATCCATGTATCTCGCATTTTTCAATATTTTAAAAATTTTGGTATACAATTTATGATATGTATGATTCTTTTTAATATTCAAAGGTATTTTTATTTTCAAAAATCTTAATTGGATTCAATATTTTATAACATTAATTTTGCAGTTGAAATAGTGGGTTAAAATTTGTCCCACCACACACTTAAATTTCCGCTCAATAGATGGCAGCACTCACGATTATTTTTCTTTTCTTTTTTTGCATCTTTTTTTTTTTTCGTGATTGCGCTCGCTTTTACATCCGTTGTATGCTCTGATGTGCTAAAATGTCTAGAAAAAAATTAACAACTCAGGAAGCTTTGGATCTTTTTGCTGAATTGCCATCCGATTGCAACTCAAATGCTTCAGATGTCAGTTCTGATTCAGATGAAATTGAAATCCAAGAAAGAATAACTGAGGTTGAAGTTATTGCTGAAGAAGAAAAGGAAGTAGTTATAATTTGTTTCGCTTTTTAAAGATAGACTCATCTATGCATGTGGTACTGTAAATATGGATCGGATGTATCTACCCAAAAATTTAAAAGACAAATTTATGTCAAGAGAATATATAGACTTTTCAGTTAGCGATGATTCAATTTATTGCATAAAATGGAAGGATAAAAAGATCAGTTTCTATCCTGTCTTGCTTGGAAAAGGCAACTGAAATGAAAGAAATTAATAGAAAAGAACTAGATGGAAAGACAAAAAAAAAAAAAAAAAAGTACTGTGCCCAAACAGCATTATGTCATATATTAAGAATATGGGATATGTCGACTGATTGATCAACTGAAAGGACTATATGAAATAGACCGCAAAAGCAAGAAATGGTGGCACATGATTTTTTTTTTTTTTATTTTACTTTTTAGATGCGAGTATAGTAAACGCATTTATTCTATTTAAGTTTGTTCGCGAACCTGATCATGATGTAAAAACAATGAAAGATTTTCCTCTCTCAGTTATAAAAGGTCTAATGGCAATTGCAGGCAAGAAACAGCTGAAAGAAAACTGAAATCCCCAGTTCAAATAAAAACTAAAAACTCTTTCGTACAACCAGAAAAGAGACTAAAAAATGTAAGTAAAACGCCAAAGAGAACGAGCAGGAGAAGATGTGCATATTGCAGCATATCGAAAGAAGAACGACGAACATTTTGGGTGTGTGAAACATGTGAAGTGCCTCTATGCCTTACAAAAGAATATGAAAAAACATGTTTTTCAAAGTTTTCATGAAAAATGACTTTTTTTTCAATTTTAATCGTATATAAATGTTTTTTGAATCAAGTGCCCGATTTTAATATTTTATTTAGTATCATATGTACGAGTATCAAATTTTAATCTTAAAATAATATTCAGAAAATAGTTTTTTTGTTCCTAAAATTTAAAAATATTAATATATATGTATGCAAATGTGCATATGCAAAATTTTACAAGTCATGCATATGCAATAAGTACAAAATGCATTTTAGTGTGTTTATTCTGAATATTTTAGAATGCACGCTTTTATTTGGTTTATTCATTCCACATAGGATTTTTTTTCCCTGCTATACACCAATATGCTGTAAGACATGTGCTAGTTGCATGGTGGGACAAACGGTATCCCACCTTCCACCGTAAAAAATAAAAGCGCAGAATTTTTTTCAAGCCCTAAAGGCACTTAAGTAAGTCCATCTGACTTATTCTAAGACATTTTTTTAAAGATTAAAATATATTTTAAATATGCGTGTCGCAAAGGGTTAAGGCATTCCACACATGCTCAATCAAGTTCAAGTCAGGTGAGTAAGGTGGTCAACCCATTCACATGATATCTTCTGTTTGAAACTATTCTGACAGCACATATGCTTGATAAGGCTCAGAACAGTCATCCATTAGCAAAATATCTGGGCCAACAGCACCCCTAAACAGCCTAATTTGAGATTCCAGTACCTCGTCCCCATATCTCTGAGCACTTACAGACCCTCTTTGAAAGATATGCAGCTCAGTGGCTATTTGTCTTGATTCCTCCCCCTAAAAAATTGTGGTCACAGAAACGAGATTTTTCACAGACTAGGGAGGGCAAGTTGCATGATCCTTCCTCTCTGCAGATCAAAACATGTTTAGAATCACTGTTCAGACTATATCTGGGCTTGTCAGTAAACAATACTCAGGCCCAGTCGTCTTGGCTCCATTGAACATGATGGTACTAATTTAAACAGGCCCCTCTGGAAGCTGGAGTGAATGGGGCATAAATATTGGTTTTCTCACATACAGTCCAATCTTGTTAAGACTTCATGCAGCAATAGAATGGCTAATTCGAATTCCTGTGCCTGCCCTGAAGGTCTAAAATCAAATCTCTTGTAGTCACTTCATGGATTCTTCGAGTCGACAATGACAGAAAACAACCTTCTGGATGCAGTTGTTGCTCTTGGTTGCCCTTGACCAGGCTGTCTAACAATTGATCCAGTGCTTAAAAAGGTGCCTCCAAACATCTGATACGACACTTTGAAGGATATATTCAAATCCTGGGTGACCTCCATTTGCGTTTGACTTTCCTTCATTCTTTCAATTATTCGCCACTTTTGAACGTCACTTAAATCTTGCCATTGAGCCATAACTACTGAATATTGATCACTCTCAGAAAGCACATTTAATTTATACAACACTACAGACCAAAATTCCAACATGTATCCATTGTATACCACACTGTCAATCACTGAATTTACATATTTCTGGCTCTGTCGTATGCAAATAAGTGCAATTAGGTGTTCTATTGCATTTAATTAACATAAATAATTATAGAATTGAGCACTAGTTGCAACATTAACTTAGTAAGCATATTTTTTTCTCGTTATCCTTTAATTTTAATGACCAGTGTAAACTGAGATAACATAGTAATAAATGCTGTCAATTATAGTTTGGTATATTTGATGGAATTTGTATAAAAAAACATCCTTAATATGTTGTAGAATTTTGTGTGAAGTGTAAATGTTGGCACAAAATGTTAACTAGATGATGGTCATCCTAATGATATGTAAAACTTCAGGGGGAATGAGCTTGTAATAACAAATGTAATGAGAGCAATTCTCTGATTTTTTAAGCAAAAATGTAAAAAAAATTTGGCATTGTGTATATTAAACACTGCACAAGCTACCACATGTAATGCTTTGGTGCATATTTGGTGACTGGTGTCCAGTTAACAGAAAAATACTGAAATTGGTTCTCTGTGAAAATAATGCTCACCTAAAACTATTACGATAAGACAAGTTGGTTTGAAATTCTTTGGCAATTACAATACATCTGAGTAAACTATACAAGATGACAACTTTAGAAGGTAAAACTACAAAACTCAATTATACAATGTTTCTAAATAACTAAATACCCTGAAATTGACTACAACAGACCACACACTGCAATCATGCAATTTAGATTTAAAAGAAAATCTACTCAAGAATTTAAAAATACAATGCACTCATCATTCTTACTTACTTGCTGTATAGGTGACTGAGCTTGAAATAATATTCGGCGTCCAAGAAGTTCAGCAAAAATGCAACCTACTGACCAAATATCAACAGCCCACGTGTAGTGTCTAGCTCCCATCAAAAGTTCTGGTGCTCTGTAATACTGAGTCACAACCTCTAACGTCATATTCTTGTTACAATCAGATTCAGCAACTCGAGCTAGGCCAAAATCACAAATCTATAAAAACAGATTGTATATATATCAAAATAAATATAAATTATAAACTTTAAAAAGGTAAAATAGGAAAAGAACATGCAAATTAACTAACTAAAAGAGAAAACTAGTAATATTACCTTTAACACGCAATTACTGTTGACTAAAAGATTACCAGGTTTAATGTCTCGATGTAAAATATTGGATGAATGAAGATATTTTAAACCTGTAAAAGCAAACAAAGATGAAGAATTGTATTAGTATAATTGTTACTTTTCTCCCACAAAGCAACAAAATTAAGAAGCATTTTATTGATAGTTAATCTGATATTTGTCACCTACTTAGTACTAATACAGGGTTCATACACATTTCTGCACACGGAAATTAAGTACTTTTAAGGCCCATTAATGAAAAGATTAAGGATCTATGAGCAAATGGGAACTGAATAAATTCAATTAAAAATATTATCTATGCCTGAATTTCACTTTTGTAATACCACCCTAAAATAAATTTGAGAATAAAATAAACTTTATGCAATTTATTAAGTATCATTAAATATTTTACACTTATAATAGTTGGACATATATGAAAGATGATAAGTGACATTTACATTTTACTAACAGCTTTATGTTGATTTTTTTTTTTTTTTTTTTTTTGTCTCATTTTGTCACATACTTGATCAGTCTAGAGGTTTAGTAAATAGCAGGTAGATTTTATATCAAATGGCATTGGTTAAAATGAGAAGTAAGATTGTAATCAGCATGATTCATAATAAAAGACTGAATGTTGTCACTGCTGCTACTTGTCTAGAATGAGAGACCTGCTGATTAGAAAAGTTAGTCAGGCTCTGTTTGATGCAGTTAGTGTCGTAGCTTCATGTAGAATTCCAGGGGTTGTAACACAGTTAATATACTTTAAGGTTTAAGCCATTAAAGCACCAGAGGTGATAAGTTGTTTTATTTTAAGTTTCACTAAATGCAAAGAATAAGTTTTACTTGAATTTTTACATTTTTGTGTTTTATCTTGTTTCCATAGCGAGTATTAATGAAAAGCAATAACTTGTTTTAACATGTAGAGATAATTTTAAAGGGAAAGCAGTTAGTTATAAATAATTAAATTAGGTAATTGGATAACCTTAGTCATTATGGATTTACATGGCCACTATTAGATTTTATTTTTTAAGAATATTTGTTAAAAAAAGCCATACTAAAATAAAATCTAATAAAATTCCACAGTTTAAAATACATGTAATTTATGACATTGATTCTTAAACGATATTAGGATAATTACACATTAAAAGCTACAAAACATTTATGTTCTGTAACAACACTCAAATATTTATCCATCATTTTAATTTGAAGCCTTCCCAAACATTTTGGCTAGTTTATAACAATTTCCTTCTCTTTAAGTATCTTTTCTAACAATCAGAGATTTGTCTCAAAATGCAAACCAATGCTCTCGCTAGTTTCTGCGTGTATTATCTCCTAATTTGCCAGTCTCTTAACAGTGCACGTAACGATGTTTTACTTGATCTGGTAAAGTTAAATAGTCCAAAACTCCCGATAGACATGAAGCAAATTATTGCTATGTCTGAAAGTAACTAGAATATCAGACAAAGGTTTAAATCAGCATCTTATTTAAAAATAACTTAGAACATAAAGGCATGTTCTGATGCTGACAAAATCAATTACAGCTTAGGGTGACGTAATTAAACAAGAACAATCAAATTCAAACTTAAAATGTGGACTAGTGGTCAAAGATCATAAAATTTAATTTGACTTAATAACTCTATCATATGAGGAAACAAAAATGGGAAATTATAGTAAAGGCTGAAATCATAAACAATTTGGTAATTTACATAATAATAACTGCACATCTCTTTGAAGAATAATTTTATGTACTCAGTTTCTTTCTTCAACACGCTTCCTTTACATTTTAGAATTTTGGGATTTAATTAAGGATTTATGTTATTGTAAAAAACACTATATGCATTTAGAATGTTTAAAGTGGCTAATTTTATTTTAGTAATATGAACATTCAGAAGAAAGATGGGTACTTTTCTGTTTCGGCGGCGCAAATCTCGCCAAGTAGACTTTATTGGCTACAAACACAGAGTATACACATAAAAAATGTTGAGAAATGTTAGTTCTAAGAATTTTTTACTTTGAAGGTATAAACATTTTAATGTCGTTTAAAATTTTGTAAAAAAGCCAATAAATTTGTAAAAAGACATTAATTTAAGAATTTACTAATCCTGATTCGCCACTTCATATCACGTGACCCCAAGTGATCTCATCTCACATATAAACTCCGCTACAAAAATCTAATTCTCTCAGTAATTATCTACATTAATTTCAAGTTAAATCTTAATTTGGAAAATTAAGTTTAAATGCAATAATTATTTCAATTCGTACGAATAACTTACTCAGAAATTATGTAAAACCGCAGTGCTTTACTTCGCTAGTGCATTTTAAATACAATTGATGAATTTAACACTTGAATTCATCTATTCTATATTTTTGCCATTGGGTAAGCTGTGCGATTGCATTCTAATTCACTTAATTACCTCCAGTAACTGGCCTTAGGGCATAAAATTGAACTATCTGGTAAAAAATTCTATGTAATTGTATTCCAGTATTGAAAGAAACAATCAATCTGATAAGAAATGGTGCAAATTGTTTTTGAAAATGAAGAGTAAAAGGTTACCAGCGAGGATATTCCATTTGGCATCGGTTGTATCATTATTGGCGACTTCATCGTCTGCACTGGCAAAACGGAAAAGTACCAAAAGTTGAAATATATATGGTAAAGGCTGGTTACAGAGCTTGCGTGGCAGAATTTTTAGAATTTAATGACACACAGAACAACAAATCTAGAAATGGCAAAACTTTTAGAATTTAGAAGAGGCATTGGAAGCAGAATTTAGAAAGGAACTAGGCAGCAGAATTTAAGATCCACAGAGATTGCATCAGGTGGGAAAATGTTTAGTGCCAGCTTTGTGTATTATGCATTAAGACATATTACATGAATCTTTTAAATTGTAAGTTTTCAATTTCTTTATTATTTAAAAAAATCCCTTTCTATAATGCCTGCCCATGTGATAAGATTAGAAGCATTTTTGATATTTCCCTGCTTGTGGCTAGTGAAAAGTAGAGAAAATAAAGGGAAGATAAACATGTTAAGAAAAAGATTCTAGTATCAGGAGTAAAATATTATATTTTCATTGTTCTTCCAGACGTTTTGCAAAAAGTAAAAAAATCATTGCAAACTTTCTGTAAAATACGTCCCTTACGTGTTAATACCATAGAGACATTTTTTTATTTTGTCACACATTTCTCGAATATTCTAGAATCGTGGGTCTATAAATCTTGCATTCAAATCCTTCTAAACTTTCTAAGTTGCAATGTTTAAAATACGAAAGAAAAATTATCCCTAACAATTCTGTATAACACGAAAAAGCTGTATTTTAGAAAAAAAAAAGGAGGGAAAAAGTGTAAAATTAATTTTATAGAGAAAACTGATGCATATTCTGAGACAATTACATGGAAAAAACTTAAAACAACATTTTTAATTAATTACATAGCTAATTTTGCTTTTGCTAAGAGCTGTTTCATTAATTGTGCTTTATAGCATTATACCTTGTTTATTTTTCTGATTCAAAATATTGTATAAATAAGTTGCCAAAACGAAAATTTATAAAATGAGAGTGAAAAATAAAAATGTTTTATTTTAATGTTATTTTTTAAATATAATTTCATATATTACCATTATTTTAATGAAATTTATCAATGTTACGATGTTTTTAAAAAAAATCGCTGAAAAATTCTCAGATTTCAGAATTAAAAATTTTCTATACAAACTGATTTTAAAATCACCAAAATGTTGATAAGTCGCCAAATTTAGAACCATTTAATAAAAGAATTCACATCCCCAAAAGTGAAAAGTTGTTTAAGAGCTCTTTATTAAAGGAAAAAAAAAAAAAAAAACGAAAAGCTTATGTTTCACTTCATGCTTAGAAACTCGTGTATCCCATTATTTATATTAGAAATAGAAATAAATTATAACCCATGCACCCATACAAAAGATAACCATATATGTCAGTGAATCGCCAAAAATATTCCTTCAAAATGCTAATTCACACTCAAAATAACAGTCGTTAAAATAGACAGAAATTTCAGATGATTAAAATTAAGGACATTCTGCTGATTTTGGCCAGAATTAAGGACTTTTAAGGACCAAAAACCAATTCCAAAAAATCCAAGGTATTTTAAGGACTCTTAAGGACAGTATGAACCCTGTAATACTTATGTAAATACAAGATTTTTACTTGGAAATATAACAACATCCAATATTATATACACAAACAGCTTTCAGCAATATGCAATTAAGAACAAACAGTTAACAGTCAATTACCAAAAATTAGTCAAAGTTTGCAGAGTCAATTAAAATGTAATTTGATAAATACGGCCAATAACAAATTTCATGAAATTACAATCAGACAAAAAATATAGACCCATAAAACACGTTAACTACATTTATATTAACTAAAGTATGTGCTGAGTAAACAAGGTTTTTGCTACATTAGTCAAAAGTAATAGGTATTAAATAGTTATGCTCATGGAAGGAGGCATATTTAAATACAATTAATTAAATAAAATACTAAACTATATCTAATAAAATACTTTTTCTAACATAATTTTATTTAACAACTATACTTATATGTCTATATTAACAACTATACTTATGGTTATTTTTACCCAGAAATATCTGCACTTTTACATCATAATATACTTCATATTAAATCTAGTTCTTTTAAGACATTTTGATCTTCACTATTACAAAACATACAGTTTTTCAACCCATTGAGAATTTCAATAAATGTGTCATTTTTCTCAATGAACAAAATCTGAGGAGTGAAGGGATAATATGTACAAAGGTGCAGAGGGGAAAAAAGAAAAAAACTGCATTACATTTTAACCATCTGAGTGCATGTCTTTTTGGATTTGCTCATAAAGATACATCCTTAAATGGCCTCCGTTAGGTAAACTTTTATAATTATTTATTTTCATCTCTGCTTTTATAAACTTTCATTCATTACAATGGTATTTACATTATTAAAGAAAATAAGAAAGTAAAATATTTTAAATCATAATCTAATTATATTAGGTGACAAAAAGTCTCACGACATGGTCATACCACTTGGTTAAAAAATGCTTATATGAATAGAAACTAATTCAGAATTGAAGAACTATTATTAGTACATATAATAAACACGATTACAACTAGCAAATACATTTCACTACATAAAGCACAGTTTTGAAAATATGCAATTTTTAAAGACAAAGTAAAATTCTTTTTACCTCTTAAAATCTGATATAAAAAGACTTTGATATGATCAGCACTCAGTGGCTGAGGTGAAACAATTATCTTATGCAGATCGCTTTGCATCAGTTCTGTAATAACATAACTAAGAAGTTATTAAGGAAAATTTATAACTATATTATTCATTACCAAAAAAAAAAAAAAAAACTAAATATCTGGCATTAATAAGTATGTTATCTATATTAAAAATAAAGGATACATTTCTTGAAAGAAATCAATATGTGGTGGTTGCAGCAGATCAAGAGCAGAGAGTACCTATTTCATAAACACATACAATGTTTACTATATATATTATAATGCAACAAAATAAATAAAACCAATTAATTTTACATAAAAAGGCTTTCAGAAAAGGGCATAAACTACATATAATGTTACAATCTCCAGAAAGAGCATTCTAAAAATCTCAAAGCTTAGATTACAAAAACAGAACTGTTAAAATCTAAATTGTGTTAAACTAAATGATTTTAAACATTCTCTGACATTCTTTTTTCATAATTCAAGCCATCCCACTACAAGAAATCACTTGTGTGTATGGAAGGGTGAAGCCTCTAAACTGCCATTATTATTATCACATACTAAATTACTAAATTATGATCTACTGTTTGCATGCACATGCTTAGACAAAAATAAAAAAAATATCTAAATGAAATTCAGCATACAAATACTCAACATTATGTATGAACATTATGCAGCTGATGTGCTAGAGGTGTTAAGAGCAAAACACTAGGGTAATTCTAATAGTAAATGGAATTATGTGGATTCCTGTGGTTGGTTACTTAGATGTCACATTTGAATACATACATGCCCAGTTAACCCACTTAACTTATAATCCAGTATATAAATCAGCATAGCAGTAGCTCAGCAGAGACATAACCAGTGAAATACACTCATTGAAATAGATAAAAAAAACTGAAACAGATAAAGAAACTAATACTACAATTGATATAGCATATTTTATGAAATCATGAGAACAGGTTTCCATTACGCATGTCACTAATTTCCATTACTTACAGCAATATCATCCAGAACTATGGGAATGTATAAATCTGAACTGTTACAAGATGCCTTAAATCACAACGCACAAGAGTTACAAGATGCCTTATTTGTGAATTTAGATCAATTAGTTGCTTTTAACTGTTTCAAAAAATGAAGCAATTTTGGTATGCAGAGTAAAGCAATCAAGACTGCAATCTGATGACAACGAGGTTAATGTTTAAATGTGGAATGGAGAGTTATTAATTATTACACTATCAGAGAACTATTAAACTTGATAAAATTGTTAAGAGAGGTATTAAATACTTTGTCAAAATATATATTAGAAAATTTGAATTTTATAATGAATATCCAAAAATACATTTTAAGGCAAAAGTTTGGAACTTGATGGCAAAACGTAAATATAAAGTTATACATGTTTAATATACAGTATTTATTATTCAGCGTCAGGTCAAGTATTTTAAGTAAGGAAGGGATAACTGCCTTGAAGGAGAGAGAGATGCCTTCATAGAGGGCTTTTGTAGGAAAACTGACTTTTTTTAATGTACATTAAAAAAATGCACGTAATTTTCATTCACTTTATATTTATACATATTTCTTATGTAAAATTCCTGCTATATGCTAAATAATTATAATTACTTTACTCCAAGCACAGATAATAAAAATAAAAGATTTTCACATTTAGAAATTGAAAAATATTAAATATGTATGAAAATTTATCCATATCCTTGTAAAAACACACACTTGGCTTTAATTTGATATGTAAATGTTAATTAAATTACTTATAAATGTATTTGGAAATGAAGGATTTATTCACTCATAAACTCCTGTGAATGTTACTATGATCTAGTTATTAAATATATCTAAATTTATAATGATTACAGTTAGAATTCTGTTAGCAAATATATTTACAAAAATAAACAAAAATTGTTTGTAAAGGGAAACAATCTATTAAAGGATTTGTAAAGCATGGTGTACGAGATGTGTACTTACGGAAGTATATAAAGTAGAATTTGCATTGTTGGAATAAAAAGTAAAAAAAAAATTGGTAAAAATATATTTCAGGGTACCCTTTGGCAAAAATTGGGGATTTTTTGGCACCATTCATGTTTACGTCCAATGCCCTTCCCAGTAAAATTGAGTCCAAAACATAATTAAAACAAAAAATATATAACCTCCATAAATTGCATTTTAAATCAAACAAGGAAATAAGAATGGAAATACATGTTATCTAATCTATGCAGTACAAAAAGGAAATATCGACTTCTACAGAATTCTTTATCAGCATCCAAAAACTATTTAAAATTATCTAAACCGGAATCTGTATGCTGCCGTCGACACATTAATTCACAAAAGTAAATACGAAAAATATCCCTCGTACTGTCGATAGCATTTCTTTCGAAAATCTATTTTTATTACACTCCACATACCTTCCTTAAGTGTTGATAAGAGCTCTGGTTTCAAAATCCTTAAATCTCGCTGCGTAATTTACCAAGAGGCGAACAAAGCCATTTAAATCTTCATTTACACACCAGATAATCAATATTTCTTCCCCAATCATTTCATAGTGTACAGACACTTCAGGTTAATCATATCCCCAGCAGGCATTTAATGGTGTAAAGCACAAAATAAGCAAAATAGCCAACATCCATACCTAAGTAAGCCCTTACAAATATTTTTCCATCAGTCAAAATCACCGCAATCACATATTAAACCAATCACATCATAATAGGGTTTCTATAACACTCAACTACTCAGGTTACCATAACAACAACTTTGCAATAATCCAAGGGGTACCCTAAAAGATAGATTAACCAAAAATTTTAATACGTATTAAAAATAATTATTTCCTTATGTTTTATAATAATTCAGTTAAAATTTTAAATAAATTAATAAATCCTATTTTATCCCTTTCTGACATCCTTATAGAAAGTTAAGTACCGGAAAATCAGAAATCAGCAGCTATATTCAACATATTTATAGCTATTAAAATAAAAGCCGCTCTAATTTGTAATGAACCTAATGGAGCATTAATTATAGAGGGATTTTTGATTTAAAACATGCCTTAGAAGCTGAAAATTATCTCATATTTTAGAAAGCTTTGTAAACATAAAGGAAATAATGCATGATTTTAATATTAATAATACAATAAACTTCGATTTTAATTTTTGTAATCATTAACCGAATAAAATTGAATTACATTAAAATTTGTTTTAATGCTATTAGTGAAAATATTTCATTCAAATTCAAATTGTTCTGAGCATGGGAAAGGTACATTTGATTCCATTCAGAATGAAATGCTGTTTAAACACATATTCTTTCACATATTTAGAATACCGGAACATTATAGAAAAAAATATATATATGCACATTTATACTTATGTATTTATACTTATGTAATTACAAAATGAATTTCTGAACATGTCAAAACCTACTGATCTTAATAGCAAATTTCTAAATGTTTTGATAAACAAGACGGGTCACTGCTTCAACAGAGTTCATGGGGAAAACCAGTTCAGGTCTTTCATATCTTTCCTTCCTCTATAGTTTGCATGGATAGCTAACTACAGTGAATCTGCTTATCACATTACATCTGCTTCCATCATATCTCCCATACCCAGACAGAGTAAACTGTATTTTACATTACACCATCGACTGTCAATACATTCACAGCACTACACTGATCACATATTTCTGCTTTGCTACTTACACATTTTAGCACAAGCACCCTTAGCAACACGTAAATATTCAAGTTCAAACAGTATGTTTCCGAAAAGAATAGCTGCATACTGCTAACTCTAATTTAGGCCAACCTGACTGCTCAATGTCCCCATAATCACACACTTTTGGAAAATAAAAATGCTCTCCCAAACTCATACAGGAACTGTAATGAATTGACTTGCCACAGGGACTGACAATTGTCAAGCTACCAAATGACACCACACAAAAACTGAATATAAAAGTATTTATGCTGGTTAGCAGATTGTTACCAATTTAAAAGTGACACAATAAAATACTGAATTATTCTTCTGCTGTTGATATGAATAAATGGTCCTACTAGTCAGGAATAAGGACATTTTTTGTTAATTTGTGTATATTATATTGCACATATGCCACTCGGAGGGTATACTGGTTAGAAGAGCCTACTGCGATACTGAAAGGCCCGGGTTCTAATCCCGAAGACATGGATGTGTAAATGTATAGTGTCTTTGTAAGCACGGAGGTATTATACGAGGGTTTGGAACTTTAATAGTGGCAACTATTTATTTACAAGGAATACAAAAGTGATTCATGTCACCATGTTTTACAGTCCTTCAATATAGTCGCCAGCATTGTGTACAACCCGTTTCCAACGATGTGGAAGTCGCAGAATACCTGTAGCAACGCCTGTTTTGTTGATAGTTTGAATGGACCAGTCTACTGCCACAAGAAGCGAGTGCCACGAAGTGTTTCCTTCATCTTACGAATTAAGTCATAGTCACAAGGGCTTAGATCTGGGGAGTATGGTGGATGGTAAAGCACTTCCCAGCCCCATCGCTTGAACAAATCAGTCACAGCTTGCGCTGCATGCGGCCGAGCATTGTCATGCAAAATGAGAGGAGCGTTCTGCAGAAAGTGTCGCCGTTTTTTTCTCAAAGCTGGTCGGAGATTGTGCTCCAAAATTGAGCAGTAATAATGTGCAGTGACGGTCTGCTGTGGAGGAACGGTATGCGTTAGGATGACACCATCACAGTCGTACATGAGAATCACCATAACTTTCACATTGCTGGGGTTCTGACGAAATTTCAAACGTCGTGGTGAACTGTGATGATGCCATTCGTTTGATTGGCGTTTCAGTTCTGGCTGGTACGATCGGGCCCAAGTCTCATCCAGCGTAATGATATGGCATAAAAAAGCATCTCCTCATAGCGCTCCAGGTGGGTTCGGGCAGCATCGTATCGTAGCCATTTCTGCATTTCCGTCAATTGATGTGGAACCCATTGTGAAGCAATTTTTCTCATGGACAGGCATTCCTTCAGAATGTGCAGCACAGTCGTATGCGCTAATCCTGTTTGTCTGGCCAGCTGACGAAACGTTTGGCGGCGATCACTGTCCATTTGTGCAGCAACAGCTTGCACGTCTGCATCGCTGACACTCGGACGACCTGGTTGCAGCATGTCTGGCACGTTTTGGCGTCCTTCATTGAATGCTTTCACCCATCTTACTACGGTTCTGTAAGGCAATGCAGATTCTCCGCAAGCCTCTTGAAGCCCTTGATGACACTGTCATGCTGTACGACCTCTGGCACATTTAATTTTTATCCAACATCGTTGTTCTTGTTTTGAAAATATACTGACAACACTTACTTTAGACTGCAAGCTAATACAAGGATTCGTTCTTCGCGTTACTCCGCATGCGCTTGACGTAGGCAGGACGAGTCTTTTTGCTGAGAGGTAAGGTAGGTATGTAGTTTACGTGTGGTATACGCGATATTCTTTGGTTTTGTTGCGTAGCGTTTTTTCAGCTGTGTTGCCACTATTAAAGTTCCAACCCTCATAAATACTCGCCGAGCTGAAAGTCCTCTCAAGAGGTTAGTGGTAAGGAAAGGGAAGAATTCTTCTGCTGTTGATATGAATAAATGGTCCTACTAGTCAGGAATAGGGACTTTTTTTTGAATTAGTGTATATTATATTGCACTAATTGGGAGACCCTTGGACCTGCTCTCACGGGATGCTATTCATCAAAATTGAGGTGAAACTGAGGTAAGTCGTATTGTCACTGAAGGAAGTTTTATATGGTGATCAAGGCTATAGCCCAGTGATTCTTAACCACTGTGTCGGGGCACTTTTATGTGCCGCCAAATTTTAGAAATGTATATAGTCAAAATTATAATGAGGGTACACATGAGAATTGGCAAAATTAGATTTTTAAGACATTAATATGCGCGCCAATTGTGGTATCCAAGCTGATTTTAGTGCCGAAGACTTCTGTATTTGAATTAACTTTTAGCAAAGAGGAAGAACTAACTTCGCTTTCTAATAATTGAGATTTAATTTTTAAATTATCGGAAGAATCAATTAATTCATTTTTGATTAACTTTAGATGCGATTATCCCAAAAACTTTAAAAATATTATTACAGTTTCCTACATCTTATTTGTGTGAATTCGGATTTTCAGTATTAACCAACATAAAAACGATAAAAAAGATTGAGACTGTTAAATGTAGAAGACGATATGAGAGTAGCATTGTCATTTTTACGACCGAATATACATGAAATTATAAAAAACATCAAGCTCAAAATTTCTCATTAAAAGTATTTTTGTTGTTAACTTGTAATTAATCCCTTAATAAACGTAGTGCATATTTTATTTTACATTTAAATTTATTATCATAAACTATATTACACAGGGGTAAGTAAACTACTTTTAACCTTATCTTTTTCTCTGTGTGCTGCCAAATTTTGAAATCGTTAAAAGTGTGCCACGACAAAAAACGGTTGAGAATCACTGCTCTAGCCAACAATAGACGCAATCTAACTCTACTTGCTACAATGAATTTCGTGGGCTTGTTCTGATATTACTGTCAGACAAGTGAGATAAGTCACAACACACACAACTAAATTGAACATACAAATTTTTGCTATGCTTCACTGATTTTCCATTCCCCCTTTTTTAAATAAAAAACTAAATTTTAAATATAGTTTTCATGAAAATGTTCAAGATCTTTGCATATTGACTGCTTCCTGTACCAATCTTTGGAAGATCGTATGGTGACTTTTTTAAGAAAATGGTCACACATGGATAGATTATGAATCTTTTCATTTCATAATATATATTTTTAGCCAATACAGTTCCACACTATAAATTCCAGTTACCTTTCTGAATAGTCTGAAAAATAATCGTACTTAAGAACTTACTATCTATAGATTAATTTACACTTTTTGGTTTCAATAAATAATCAAAAACTGTTAATGCATTTAATCCTAAACACAAAATTTTTAATTAGATTTATACTAAGTATAAAATTTTTCATAATTTTAGAAAAAATGTATTTTTATAATTGTAACTAAAAATGTACATACATTTTCATGCTTGAAAAAACAAAGCATTTTTATCTCCCTATATACTCTTTTGCTGGAAACTAAATTCTGGAAGACATTAGGCATTTTCTTTAATGCAACTAATTTTCCATCACGAGGATCAGTTACAGACCTACAAAATAAAATTTATGTTAAATAAACACTATTAATTTTATAAAAACATCATAACTTCAGATATTTTAAAAAATCATCCAAATTTCATTACTATGAAATAAATTTTTTCGGTATTATTCTGTTTTGAGAGCCGTAAGAAAATTGCAGCGAAAATGTATGCGCAAAAGCGCCAAATCTAGCAAACACGCCCATTTAACAGAGTGCCAAATCTAGCGTACGCGTTGATTTGAGATTGCGTAAGTTTATATAGTTCTATATTTCTTAAGACGCCATTGAAATACTAGTTTAATTTTTAAATTCTTTTTTGATATCCTATGGATTTAACAATTTGGGAATTGCCCATGACGAAAAGTAGGCAATAGAATTTTGGGTAAAGTGCAGAATCACCCATTGCTTGACGCGTTTTTAAGAATTGCACATACTGGATTGTGCAATTCTTGAAAACGTGTCAACATTGCCATGTCAATTGATACATAATTGCACGGTATCCATGTGCATATCGACCTCTTTTCACTTAAAAAAAAAATCCTAGAATTGCACAAAAATCGCTCTGCGCACACCCTTGACTTTTTCTATGTACACATCGACCTATTTTCACTTAAGTAAATGAAAATTGACAAAAATCCAATTGTTTTTACCCTTGAAAAAAGCGGCAAATAAGTGAGCGATTCTGCACTTTACCGAGAATATTTTCAAAGAAAAGACATCATTCATTATAGAAAATTACGTTTGGACAACCAACGAGATGAAATTATGCTTTAGCGATAAGTCGCTAGCGAAATAGCGATGCAGGCATCCATTCAGTTATGTTTAGCAATTTTTATATAAATTATAATAATGATCTGAAATAGTTATTTACTCTTATGCTTCCATTCAGTCATGTTTAGCCTTTTTTATATAAATTATAATAATAAAGTATTATATAAAATTAACCTTTCATCTAAATTAAAACATCAATCTTAGATAGTTATCTACTATTATACTTTTTTTCTTGCTGCAATTCTTTTCGGCAGCATTGGCATCAAGGATAATTTGGTGATTTTTTACGGCCCTCGAAACCGAAAAGTACCATTTTTTCTCCATAAAGTGCATAATTAATAAACATTACAAAATATTGATTCAGAAGTCAAACAACAAAAATCAGCGTTAATTCACAAAATTTTCACAGGACTAGTTTCAATGGTTTTACCGAACCATCATCTTCAGCTGCAAAACCGCAAATGAACAAGATAGGAAATAATGTTTAGATAAGATAAGAAAGTCTGGACAAGAATAAGCAAATGGCGCCATCTGTTGGCGAAACCAGAACTAAAACATAATTTCTCTAAAAGCCGAAGGCAAATTTGGATTGGAATTAGGATCGTTAAATAGAACAGAAAGATTTTTTGTGAATGTGAAATGCCTCTAGAAAATCCAGTTCTCCAATGGAAGATTTTTTGAATAATTTTGGCAGCAGAAAAAATTGAAAGTGTGATTTTCGGACCAACAATGTTGAGCAATAGAAGACTTCTGTGTTTCCTTTTTTCTAACATATGCCTCATGTTCTTTGACGCGAAATTTTAAGGTTCTCTTAGTTTGGCCAATGTAAATTAAACCGCACTGGCAAGGAATCCTATAAATACCCCAGGAATTCATATCCGGAATGGGGTCCTTGAGTATAGAAGTTGGAATTTTATTGATGGGAGAATAAACAACCCGAAAGTTAAATTTCTGCAAAATATGTGCAACTTTATAGCTAATTGATGGAAAGAAGGGAATGACAACAGAATTTTTATAATCTCCTAAAATAAGAGTGTGGCTTTTAGTGTGTTGAGATGAGAATTTTTTAACTGCTTGATTAATAATGTTGGGTGAAAAGCCCCTGTCAATAGCTATTGCTTTTAAATAATTTAGTTCTTCATCAAGGGCTAGTTTGGAGGAGCAAACTTGAAGAGCACGGAAAACATAGGAATAAAATGAAGCTAACTTTTGTTTAGTCGGATGACATGATTTAAAGTGTGGTGGAAGGCAAACCGATGAAGGTTTACGGTAAACTGTAGTACTGAAGTTGGATGTGTTACGTGTGACCAGAATGTCGAGAAACGGAAGAGAATTGCAAGTCTCAAGTTCAAAAGTGAACTGAATAGCAGGATCAATAGAATTCATTGTTGAAAGAACTCTATTTAAATCATCTTTATTACCTTCAAACAGGGTAAAAGTATCGTCTACGTAGCGGAACCATGCCGGGAAGTTTAAAGTTTCAAACAATTTTGATTCATAATAATGCATGTAGATATCAGCCAGGATGGGACTGAGGGGGCTTCCCATGGCTAATCCCTCAGTTTGCTTGTAATATTTATTTTGGAAAACAAAATGTGTTTGTTTCAAACAGAGTTGAGTGAGAGAAATTAGCTCATCAATTTCGATGCAAGAGAAATGAAATTCGCGAAGTCTGGTTTCTAGACATCTTAATGCACCCTCCACTGGGACATTGGTGAATAATGATTTTACATCAAAAGAAACCATGAGTAAATTACAAGGAGAAATGTTTTTAACCTTTTTTACAAACTCTATTGAATTTTTTATGGTGTAAATGTTATTGTCTAATAGAGTGGAAAATCTAGAAACTAAATATTTAGCTAATGGATACGAGGCAGTACCTAAATTTGATACAATAGGGCGGAAAGGAATACCACTTTTATGAATTTTGGGAAGAGCATATAATCTGGCACAATTCGCAACAGATGGGATAAGCGAATGTTTTAAGTTGCTTGAAATGATTTGCGAAGATTTGATCGCAGTTTTTATTTTGGATAAGTCCGAAGGTGAAGGATCTTTAGGGATCGGATTATATGGTCCTTCGTTTAAGAGTTTACTAAACTCTTAAACGAATGTCATGTTGTGGTGTCACTAAACTCTTAAACGAAGGACCATATAATCCGATCCCTAAAGATCCTTCACCTTCGGACTTATCCAAAATAAAAACTGCGATCAAATCTTCGCAAATCATTTCAAGCAACTTAAAACATTCGCTTATCCCATCTGTTGCGAATTGTGCCAGATTATATGCTCTTCCCAAAATTCATAAAAGTGGTATTCCTTTCCGCCCTATTGTATCAAATTTAGGTACTGCCTCGTATCCATTAGCTAAATATTTAGTTTCTAGATTTTCCACTCTATTAGACAATAACATTTACACCATAAAAAATTCAATAGAGTTTGTAAAAAAGGTTAAAAACATTTCTCCTTGTAATTTACTCATGGTTTCTTTTGATGTAAAATCATTATTCACCAATGTCCCAGTGGAGGGTGCATTAAGATGTCTAGAAACCAGACTTCGCGAATTTCATTTCTCTTGCATCGAAATTGATGAGCTAATTTCTCTCACTCAATTCTGTTTGAAACAAACACATTTTGTTTTCCAAAATAAATATTACAAGCAAACTGAGGGATTAGCCATGGGAAGCCCCCTCAGTCCCATCCTGGCTGATATCTACATGCATTATTATGAATCAAAATTGTTTTGAAACTTTAAACTTCCCGGCATGGTTCCGCTACGTAGACGATACTTTTACCCTGTTTGAAGGTAAAAGATGATTTAAATAGAGTTCTTTCAACAATGAATTTTATTGATTCTGCTATTCAGTTCACTTTTGAACTTGAGACTTGCAATTCTCTTCCGTTTCTCGACATTCTGGTCACACGTAACACATCCAACTTCAGTACTACAGTTTACCGTAAACCTTCATCGGTTTGCCTTCCACCACACTTTAAATCATGTCATCCGACTAAACAAAAGTTAGCTTCATTTTATTCTTATGTTTTCCGTGCTCTTCAAGTTTGCTCCTCCAAACTAGCCCTTGATGAAGAACTAAATTATTTAAAAGCAATAGCTATTGACAGGGGCTTTTCACCCAACATTATTAATCAAGCAGTTAAAAAATTCTCATCTCAACACACTAAAAGCCACACTCTTATTTTAGGAGATTATAAAAAAAATTCTGTTGTCATTCCCTTCTTTCCATCAATTAGCTATAAAGTTGCACATATTTTGCAGAAATTTAACTTTCGGGTTGTTTATTCTCCCATCAATAAAATTCCAACTTCTATACTCAAGGACCCCATTCCGGATATGAATTCCTGGGGTATTTATAGGATTCCTTGCCAGTGCGGTTTAATTTACATTGGCCAAACTAAGAGAGCCTTAAAATTTCGCGTCAAAGAACATGAGGCATATGTTAGAAAAAAGGAAACACAGAAGTCTTCTGTTGCTCAACATTGTTGGTCCGAAAATCACACTTTCAATTTTTCTGCTGCCAAAATTATTCAAAAAACATCTTCCATTGGAGAACTGGATTTTCTAGAGGCATTTCACATTCACAAAAATCTTTCTGTTCTAGTTAACGATCCTAATTCCAATCCAAATTTGCCTTCGGCTTTTAGAGAAATTATGTTTTAGTTCTGGTTTCGCCAACAGATGGCGCCACTTGCTTATTCTTGTCCAGGCTTTCTTATCTTATCTTAACATTATTTCCTATCTTGTTCATTTGCGGTTTTGCAGCTGAAGATGATGGTTCGGTAAAACCATCGAAACTAGTCCTGTGAAAATTTTGTGAATTAACGCTGATTTTTGTTGTTTGACTTCTGAATCAGTATTTATTCGGCGTGTTATTGTGTCTTAATTACAAAATATATTTAACCAGCTGCTTTAAATGTAATGTAAATAAAATTAAAATCTTGAATTTCTTTGGGAGGAAATTTATACAATTATTATAAATTTCCTTGTTTTAATATTTTCTTATTACATCAAAACATATGAGAACTCTTGTCCTAGAAGGGATATCGCTTTTCTAAAAACTACTCCACATTCATAAGCAATGCTCCCTAAATTTTCTTGTAACCTTGCAATGCAGTATTTATGTCCTGTAGCTGATTGTGTCTGCATGAAATAAAAACACCTGCTCAAACTCTGTGCAGGCATGCACATATAGGGGCACTTAACATAATTTTTTGAGGGGG